CCCCAAAACCCCAAAACCCCAAAACCCCAAAACCCCAAGAATTAAACTCTCATTGCTAAGTTAAATAATAATTATAAATATGAATAGAGCAGGAAGAATTCAGCTCAACCGTAAGCGAGTGAAGAATGAAGTCATGAACATACGGGAGAACCTCGACACAGTTCTTAACTACAATATTTTCGTTGATGATAACAGGTACAAAACCGATGCGAAGCTTAAATTTAAAGAGTCCCAATCTCAATATCGCTATGCAAAATTTATGAGGAGGAGAAATAGGGGTTTGATAAAGTTCTAGCAACTATTCCCTGCAAGTTCTGATACTATACTATCTCTTACAGATGGATAGTGAATTTTGGAAATATACTTTATTTATCCTATTCGGTCTGATACTTCTATTCATGCATGTATTTAAATATCAGACCATTAAAGACAAGCAATACTTTTTGATAATTCAGACAGTGATGTTGGTAGCAATCACTCCGATAGATCATTCAGAGGTAGACAATGATGACTTCAGAGTGTACTTTGGATCATCAATATATTTCCTAGTTTTTGGTGAGAGTTGGATTCACTACTTATGATATGCAATCCTACTCAATTTATTTAGATTTATCGTCAAAGGTTACCCTCTCTACTTCCTCACCTACACCCAGTGGCTGTATCTTGGAGTTTCAAGTGTTATATTCATATTTGGAGAAAGAATTCTTAAAGAATACTGGGTACTTTGTGATTCTCATAAATAAAAGTTTTGACATTTTCAGAGGTCTCTATGAATCCAACGATAGCCCATCATTCATTTTGGACAAGAAAGGAAAGATCTTGTATACAAATAAGGCAGGAGTCTCCATTATCGGGAAGAGATATACAAAGGTTAAAAATAAGGTAAGTTATCCAAACACTGAGGAAAACCAGTCTGTCTTTATACATCCCTTCTTGTGAGCGTTGTGAATTTTGGGGAGAGATCAGAAGGTCGGCTCCTACTCGATTTCTTAAATTCCATTTAGCCAGTTAGCCATATTTTACGAACAATGGTGACATTTATAATTTTTTGAAGAGATAAGTGTTTTTTCTCAGTTTTTAATATAAACTACATCCCAAACTCGTTTATCCTAAGAACGAATGGATATATCTTCTCTATAGAATGACCTCAACAATATATTCGCCTTGGTCCATACAGCATCAAAAGAAAAACTAGAAAAAATAATCAAATTAGTCATTCAGAATGAAGCCTTTGTTAATGAAGAAAACCAACATATAGCATTTCTCCAAAATTGTGACCCAGATGAAGAGAAGGAGGGAGGAATAGACGATGTTGGCCCTCTTATTCAAGCAGATAGATTGGTCTATTACCTAGCAAAAGCAAGGCTTTGAGCATGGAAATCAGGAAGTTGTGTAGTCCTCACACTTGAAAATATGATGGGACAACTTATCAGGAATAGACTTATAAATTGCCACTCTACTTTAATAATGTCCCTAGCTGATAGTCTTACTAAGGATCTTAATTCTATGCAAATTAGAGCTGCAAATACTAGGCAAATTCCTCGTGGGCAATGGGTTAGTGCTACTCGTTTATCTCATCAACTTCGTACTCATTTCCAAAATATGAGCACTGTGCTTAGCGCTACTCACGGAGGAGACGATGATAAAGTCGAAGCATTCAATTTAGTAGACGAAATCAGAGATTTATCAAACGAGGTAACTCTGGCTTTGACTGAGCACGAGTTTGACGTTGACTTATCCTACGAAGCTGGAATCCCTGAGCGAGTGTTTGGAAACCTGCCTCGTTTCAAACAGATCATGTCGATCTTATTCACAGTTGGCCAGAAGCAGGCGACTTCAGCAAGCCCAATGGCATGCCACCTAAAATTCTTAAGAAAAGATGAGCGCAAATAACTGAATTGTGGGAATTGAAGTGAGCTTTCCGAAGGGAGATTTCATTCAGGTCGATAAACTGAACAAGATACTATCAAATACTCAACTTAGCTCAGACTTCTTCCTTCAATTTCGAGAAGAACTACAGGCTTATGATCTAGGAATGTTCGTGCTAGGAAGATTGATAAATTTGGAGGGAGAACAAATATATGCTGAAGCAAGGCCAGGTGGAGCAGTAGCCATCTGGCTTGAGATGTCCTTTAGCCTATTATATCGAGGTAAATTAAAATTTAGTGCAAGAAATATTTTATAGGATGATCACAAAGACTAGAAATGTCAGATGTACAAGCAGACATGGCACAAAGGTTTAACAGGAATTCTGGAGAACCGCAAGCACAGGAGAATATTAACTCTAGTGTGAGTCCGATTAGTGGGTATCCGGGGAACGAAGAGAACAAATTTCAATATGGTCGTTCACTGACTCAGCGAAATTCAAATTCAAAAAACTCAAAGAATTCTAAGAACTCTAAAAGCTCAAAGAAAGGTATGAGTGGGCTGCCTGCTAATATAAATATCACGAACTCAGGTCAGAATCTTAGCAGCAATGGATTGCCAATGAAATATGAAAGTAGTAAGAACTCTAATGAAAGTTATGTTGTAAAACAGAAATCAACTCCATTCCCTATTCCAAAATAACCATAAGAGGTTTAAAAATAGGAGCAGGGGGTCTATCATACAGACAAGGACACCTAAAAAGCAACTTGAAACTCCTGAGGCACCTATATTTTTTCCGCATCAGAATAGGGACCGCCTCATTAATATGGCTAAACATCGCTCAAATTGTGCTACTTACTTAAACAATGCTTCCTCGTTGAAAAGACAAAATTTTGACTCATTGAAGAACTATAATGAGTTTGTTGAGCCACAGTTTGGCGCCCCTTCTGGGTTCAGCTCCCATCAAGATATTAATAAAGGGACAATAGTCAAATCCCCTAGAAATATTGAGAGTAACTCTGAAGAGGGAGAACTATTTGAGAGTGAAGAAAGCGAATACGAGGAAGAAAATAATTTCAATATGCTTATAGATAGACAATCCAGAGGCAAATATGGTAAGGAATACCAAAAGTATTGCTCACTAATTTAGATCACCAATCAATGACTGTGGTCGATGGGCAGAGAATAGAGAGAAGAGCAGACCAAACTGTTTATGACGAGGATAACAAAATGATACATAAGACAAAACTGGAATATCGGTTGAATTTATCATGAAATGACTTGTACTCGTCGTCTGAAGAGGGCGATATGATTCCAAAAAGTACTTTTCTTTAACCCTCCTTCTAGATAACAACTATGCGACTTATATGAATAATTTCTCCCATAATTATCTTCAGCCAGCAAAGCCTATGAATCTACAAAAGAAGATACTTGAAGCAAATTTCAATCAAAGCAGCAACAAAAGTATTCACGATGAGGGAGCTTCTCCTTCGCGAAAACTTTTCCAACGACCCATATTGTACAAATCAAACTATCACTCAGGGGGTAAATTTGAATTTTAAACACTTAAAAGATATAGAAAATGGAAAACACCAACGCCAAAGCTCACTTTTGAAGCCATCCAATAATCTATTCACATCCAGAAAGATGGATATTATTGAAAACATTAATCCATCATTGTCAAGAGCTATTCAGATCCAAGAGATGCCTTATGAAGGTAAGAAACATCAAAAGCTCTATGTCCATCTCCAAGCACGTTTGGCTAATTGGACATTCCTTTTGCATCTATTTTAATTGTATTAATATCGTGTTGTATAGGGGCAGGCCTCATACTTAATGACAGATACGATCGCAACCGGACAGCAAGAGGAGATGACACCCAACAGAAACAGGTAATAATTCTTCGAGATTATCTCCTAGAGAGAGCTCATGATGGAAGACTCCATGGCAAATCATTATGAGATTTGGTGCAGTGATCATGAAGTAGAGGGTTAGAAATACATTTTATACCAATAATAACCAACTTGATGTGGGTTTAGTATAGTGATAAAATAAATTTATACTAACAACTTTAGATTCTATAATTTCGTATTAACACTATTTTTCAACAGAAACTCAATTAAACGGGGTTTTGGGGTTTTGGGGTTTTGGGGTTTTGGGGTTTTGGGGTTTTGGGGTTTTGGGG